AATAACCCTGGTCTATGTAGATGGTAGACTGATGGTATGGAATAACCCTGGTCTATGTAGATGGTAGACTGATGGTATGGAGTAATCCTGGTCTATGTAGATCGTAGATTGATGGTATGGAATGCCCCTGGTCTATGTAGATGGTAGACTGATGGTATGGAGTAACCCTGGTCTACGTAGATCTAGACTGATGGTATGAATCGGTCTAGAGATGGTAGACTGATGGTATGGAATAACCCTGGTCTATATCTTAGACTGATGGTAGGAATAACCCTGATGGTATGGAATAACCCTATGGATCTACGTATGGAATAACCCTGGTCTAGACTGATGGTATGGAATAACCCTGGTCTATGTAGATCGCAGACTGATGGTATGGAATAACCCTGGTCTACGTAGATCTTAGACTGATGGTATGGAATGCCCCTGGTCTATGTAGATCGTAGACTGATGGTATGGAGTAACCCAGGTCTATGTAGATGGCAGACTGATGGTATGGAGTAACCCTGGTCTACGTAGATCGTAGACTGATGGTATGGAATAACCCTGGTCTACGTAGATCGTAGACTGATGATATGGAGTAACCCAGGTCTATGTAGATGGTAGACTGATGGTATGAAGTAACCCAGGTCTATGTAGATCGTAGACTGATGGTATGGAATAACCCTGGTCTACGTAGATCGTAGACTGATGGTATGGAATAACCCGGGTCTATGTAGATACAGACCTATGATATGGAATAACCCGGATCTATGTAGATACAGACCTATGATATGGAATAACCCGGATCTATGTAGATACAGATCTATGATATGGAATAACCCGGGTCTATGTAGATACAGACCTATGATATGGAATAACCCTGGTCTATGTAGATACAGACCTATGATATGGAATAACCCTGGTCTATGTAGATACAGACCTATGATATGGAATAACCCGGGTCTATGTAGATGCAACACTTTTTGGATTGAGTGGTTGTTGCTTTTGATAGACATCTGGACAAATCCTTTCATGTGATTCTGTTTGTGTGTTTGTGGTTCAACCACGTGTTAACGACGTCATGGTAGCTGATTATGAGTTCGGGGAAGTTGCCCATTCAGAACCCTTATCGTACATGTAACCTATGCCTGTAGCATGTGTTTTGGTTCATTTCGTGACTTTGTTAACAATCTATCATATTTGAACCTCACTGGTCACCATTGTCCAGCAGTCTCAGCAATAGTTTACGCGTTTCGCGAATGTCAAATTACATCTGGAAACCAGGCGTTTGATACATTTCAAAATAATTTTGAATACGCGCGATCCGCTAATACGTCATCTTACTCGCGTGTTGCCGGGCAAGTTCCTGTTGTTATTTAGAATTGACGTTTTGTATCTTTTAGAGGGAGGTGGAGTGGCCTATTGGCTGAGCTGGTGGATAAAACGCGAGTCTCGGCTTTGATTACTCACAAGATGTGCAGCGTCTTTCTTGTGTTACCCATCGTGATATTACTGCAATGTGTATTAAAGCGGCGTAACATCATACTCATTTACTTGTCTGGAGACGACTTCCAATAGGTAGACAGACAGTTGATTACCCACATGTCCAAAGAATATACTTATAAGATGTTTTCAGTCACAGTCCATGTTAATGTGATGGACATTTTGTGCTGTAACTGCAAGTTGCTGTTTTTTCACGTTGTTGTAGTTCTGTGGACAAGTGCTTTGATAGGTTTTCTAAAAACACCCATCAAAGATGGCACTAACAGTGTCTGTAACGTGTAATGTAGATTAGTATATGTGTGTTTACCTCTCTCGATGGCAGTAAACATTCAACCACAACAGCTGACGGGACTTGGCGTGCTTCAAGAGTCAACCCACCGAGTTCACGAGTCATCATTCGGCTTGTCCAGGAATTATACGATTAGTCACGATGGGATTTTGCACTCAGGAATGCTGGATCTTTTGTCAGAGATACTGTAAGATCAGTCAGGCGTGCTCATTAGTAAAACAGTAATGGGTTGCGGGGGCATCTCAAGACTTGTGATCAGCTGTATTCAGCCATAGATTCAGCCATGAAGACTTCCCGTTAGTGACCCATGGTATGATCGTCCCGGCCTCATGGTAACCCTTTGTTGCTGAGCATGTTCAACCCTGAAATCACAGTGGAACATGCTGTAATATTTGCGGTCAGGATAATACAACTTCTTTATTTCAATATATCCGACGGTTCGGCGTAGATGCTGACGCCGTCATCAAGCAATTGAAACTTCCCATATTTTGTTCACCACTCCAACTTCTAAATGCCTCTGGGGTGGTGGGGTATGCTAGAGGTTAAAGCGTTCGCTCGTCACTCCGAAGACCCGGGTTCGGATGGCCACATGGGTACAATGTGTGAAGCCCATTTCTGGTGTCCCCCGCCGTGATATCGCTGGAATATTGCTAAAAGCGACGTAAAGCTAGCTCACTAACTCCAAATGCCACTAAAAGAAGCTATGAACGTTTTCAGCTTTTCAAATCCAGATGTTGGTTTAGTAGTTCAGTGACGTATTCAGAAACAAAGGCATTAGCCACATGGTCAAAGCATCCTCTTGTCAGGGTTCCTATCCCCACATCGGTTTAATGTATGAATCTATTTCTGGTGTCCCTCTTCCAAGGTGGTGTTGAAACATTGCAACGTGAAACCATATTCACTTGATTAGTTTGTAGAGTTATCTTAATGGACACACTGACCATTAGGGCAGGTGCGTGGGTAGATGGTACCTGGTGGGGTACCTCGTTTTGTAGCATACTAAGATTTATTATATTTAGCAAACTTATAATCTTTTGATGGCGTGTTATATGAATACCTGTGTCTCAGGAAACAGGACCATAGTCACTTGAATACCTGTGTCTCAGGAAGCATGAGGACCATAGTCATTCGAATACTTGTGTCTCATGAAGCATGAGGACCATAGTCAATAAGAATACCTGTGTCTCAGGAAGCATGAGGACCTTAGTCATTTGAATACCTGTGTCTCAGGAAGCATGAGGACCATAGTCATTTGAATACTTTGTGTCTCATGCAGAGGACCATAGTCATTTGAATACTTGTGTCTCATGAAGCATGAGGACCATAGTCATTTGAATACTTGTGTCTCAGGAAGCTCAGGAAGCATGAGGACCATAGTCATTTGAATACTTGTGTCTCAGGAAGCATGAGGACCATAGTCATTTGAATACTTGTGTCTCAGGAAGATGAGCCATGAGGACCATAGTCATTTGGACCTTCTCAACAAGCATGAGGACCATAGTCATTTGAATACCTGTGTCTCAGGAAGCATGAGGACCTTAGCCATATGAATACCTGTGTCTCAGGAAGCATGAGGACCTTAGCCATATGAATACCTGTGTCTCAGGAAGCATGAGGACCTTAGTCATTTGAATACTTGTGTCTCAGGAAGCATGAGGACCATAGTCATTTGAATACCTGTGTCTCAGGAAGCATGAGGACCATAGTCATTTGAATACCTGTGTCTCAGGAAGCATTCGGACCATAGCCATATGAATACCTGTGTCTCAGGAAGCACGAGGACCATAGCCAAATGAATACTTGTGTCTCAGGAAGCATGAGGACCTTAACAATAAGAATACCTGTGTTTCAGAAAGCATGAGGACCATAGTCATTTGAATACCTGTGTCTCAGGAAGCATTCGGACCATAGCCATATGAAAACCTGTGTCTCAGGAAGCACGAGGACCATAGCCAAATGAATACTTGTGTCTCAGGAAGCATGAGGACCTTAACAATAAGAATACCTGTGTCTCAGAAAGCGTGAGGACCATAGTCATTTGAATACTTGTGTCTCAGGAAACATGAGGACCATAGTCATTTGAATACTTGTGTCTCAGGAAGCATGAGGACCACAGCCATATGAATACTTGTGTCTCAGGAAGCACGAGGACCATAGCCATATGAATACTTGTGTCTCAGGAAGCATGAGGATTTTAACCAAATGAATACTTGTGTCTCAGGAAGCATGAGGACCTTAACCAAATGAATACTTGTGTCTCAGGAAGCATGAGGACCATAGCCATATGAATACTTGTGTCTCAGGAAGCACGAGGACCATAGCCATATGAATACTTGTGTCTCAGGAAACATGAGGACCATAGTCATTTGAATACTTGTGTCTCAGGAAGCACGAGGACCATAGCCATATGAATACTTGTGTCTCAGGAAGCATGAGGACCATAGTCATTTGAATACTTGTGTCTCAGGAAACATGAGGACCATAGCCATATGAATACTTGTGTCTCAGGAAGCATGAGGACCATAGTCATTTGAATACTTGTTTCTCAGGAAGCATGAGGACCATAGTCATTTGAATACTTGTGTCTCAGGAAGCATGAGGACCATAGTCATATGAATACTTGTGTCTCAGGAAGCATGAGGACCATAGCCAAATGAATACTTGTGTCTAAGGAAACATGAGGACCATAGCCATATGAAAACTTGTGTCTCAGGAAGCATGATGACCATAGCCATATGAATACTTGTGTCTCAGGAAGCTTGAAAACAATAGCCAAATGAATACTTGTGTCTGAGGAAGCATGAGGACCTTAGCCAAATGAAAACGGACATTGGCCTCATAAATACCTGGGTCACAGGTGTATGTAGGTGGTCGCTTTTCTTGTCACTTTTCTCAACACTTCTATCAGTCTCCCGGCTGCGGAAATCAAGAACTGATCATTGTACTCACCATCTACAGCTCTTTTAACTACATGTCACTGACAGGGGCTATCACGAGTGGGTGAATTTACAACACGAATGAGCAAAGTTGTTATGAAACCTTGTAAAAACAAAAACAGAGGGACTATTTTAGGTTGGACAGGCATCTTAGACACAGTACTTCACGTTGCCTGATTCAGCCCCGTAGCCTTACCAGGATCCGCCGAACCGCCTTGAAAGGATCCTTGGTTTCTCTGTACCATACACATTGTTCTAGGTGTGACCATATTGGTCAGTGTCAACTTGACACAAGGTGTTTATTAAGCGGCGTAAAAGCCTATTCACTTTGGACCCAACGTGTTGCAGCCAAAATAGCAATTAGTTGGGTGCTTAAACGTTTAATTATGGGGCCACTGAGGTGCCCTCCGTCTGACAGGGTTAATGTTAGAAGACAGCTGTTGGTAGGCTCCACGACTTCGCTGATTCGAGCGGTTACTGTCGCAGATGACTGAGACGTATGATCACACGATACTTGACAACGGCTGTTCAACTTGTTTTCGTAGAAATCTCTCTAACAACCATTCAGCCTTTCCAACATTTGGCATAGCTAGACCATCAATACTGTGTTACCGTTTTTGTCTTAAAGAAACTTCTTGAACCGTCAGCTGAAACGAGCCCTATAAGCACGGAGTGGGTACCGGCCAATTACTCCCGGTGGGACAAGTGTCACCACGCCTGTACAAATACGTGGTACGTGCCCACAGAATTAAGTTGATGTTAGTGAGTGGGTGTGTAGGTGTGTAGGTGTGTGTGGTCGTGTTGGCGTGAGAGTTTAGGACGCAAATAAGCAAACGATGTCATACATCGCCATTCTGTGCAGAGTTACGTGTCTTGCCCACCAGGATCCGCTGGTGATGAGCTTGATTCCTATGTTCGCCAGATTATGATGCTTAGGGTACCAGCATTGTGTTCGCCGACTTCTCAAAGGCAGTATGCGTCTACACCTGCGTCACTCCCGATGCGCCACCCATCCCCTAATTAAGGTTTACAATATAAGTTACACCATTTGGGGGTGGTGGGGTAGCCCTGAGGTTAAAGCGTCCGCTCGTAACGCCGAAAACCCGGGTTTCGATTCCCCACATGGGTACAATGTGTGAAGCCCATTTCTGGCATCAACCGCCGTGATATCGCTGGAATATTGCTATATGCGGCCTAAAACCATACTGACTCACTCAGTAACAACAAAATTCTGAGAGTATCGCTCAATTTTACTCACTCAAAGTTAGGATCCATTGTTCAGTCCAGTTTCTCTCCTAATACGTTTGTTCCTCTGTGCCCCTTGAAGTATGTTTATACGTTCACTACTTTCCACAGTCCGTCTTGGTATTTGTAAAAAAAACCCGTTCTGTATACTGATATTAAAAATAGATGATTTTCATCCTGATGGACCAAAACATTGAATTATTCGGGTATTGAGTCTGAACTTTGACTTGATCAGGCAAGCACGATTTTTTTTAAAGTTTCAGAACAAGTAAAGGTCTACATGACGCTTCAGCCCACGCCACCCTCATGGCCACCCCCTCCCAACCCACTGTCTAGTAGGGTGTACACTTTCGCAATTTCTCTCATGCTCGTGCTCACATGCAATTCCCGTTATAACCACCTCCCTCATCCCTCACGCTGACGAATAACTACCCTCGTGACAGATTCAGGATTGATCTATTCCCTCTACGAATTACCTGAATTTGACCCACTTTCTGAAACATACACCAGATCATCATGACTTTGACATCCTTGATCAAAAGGTCCGCGACGCCCACTGTCCGTCTCCATGAAATTAACACATGCAATGAGAGACAAGCGCCCGAGCAGCGAGACAATATAGACGACGTCGACCAGCCGCGCTGTGACAAAATGACGAAATAAGAATTCAGGCGCTGAAGACAGTGAGTCGAAAAAATTGTCCGACTGGCTGTGATTTTCACTAGTACATTGAACTTCGAGCATTTTACAAGGCCTTTAAAAATATGAAGTTAATATCGATTGGAGGTCAATTTAACACCGCAGCCCTGGTGACGGGCAGTATTTATGTCACCGACAGTTAACGCCTAACGGCAATGAACTGGCTAAATGACAATATCAGATAAAAGAAAACCAAAAAGGATAAATACGAATCTGTTTTTTATTTGGATATTTTTGTTTGTATTGTAATGAAGTGCTATTTCTTGTTTGTATTCTTATAACACTCTTTCCCCTAGTTCATTACTGCTGAATTTAACAAATAAATCAATACTGTCATGTTTAATTAGAAGGAGATTGATTTGGTGTAATATCCTGAATTCTCATAAACAATTATTATCAAAACTAAACACATTGTCTGTGTTGAAGGCGATTATTAATAAAGTTTCAAAAATCTGATCTCTTTCAAATAGTGTGATATATGATACAAAAACAAGCCTATCATTTATCCGTGTCAAAGCCAGCCAATTATCAAAGTTAATATGAAATATATATTGCTTCTTTAAGGTCCAAGAAATTTATAGCGTGTATATTCTTCCTATTACTGTCGGATAATAAGCATATGCGTGATGGATGTCACAGGGAATTGATTCCCCGATGTCGATTTCACTCCCTGCTGCAGTCGATCCGTCATCCACCAAATGCCTCTCCATCCAACCTTGACACATCCACAGCGCTAAACAGCACTCCGGCATCCAACTTACTACCTCTAATGCCCATCTCTAGTAAACACAAACGCTAAGATCTACTCAGGCGACCACGTGGTCAGTGAAATAGACATCCCTGCCATTGTCAAGGGGCCGAAGATGGGGAAGAAATACCGGTAGGGATTTCGCTTTTCTGTAACTGTCAGTTTGAAATGAAGGCTCTCATCCCTGAACCTTTGGACTTAGTTTGATGACCATTGCTTGCCGTTTATTGACCACAAGTGACCACGAGGTAAACGTTGATTTATTGCAGGGGCGGAAGGTGGGGCAGTTTGGAGGAATTACGTCACTTGGAATGTTGGCGTTGCAGTGCTTGTGGTGTTTACTGGCAGAATTTCTGTGTAGTGCTGTTGATGACTTCCGTCAGGGAGCGACATCGATCTCCAACAGCCACCACTACACAACCGCTGCTGTACATGGTTTGACACGATAAGTAATCTGTAAACAAGAAATTGTAAGCTGTTTCCATAGCTACAGTTGTACTGGCAATGCCGCTGCTAGTAGGCTACTACTACTACTACTACTACTACTACTACTACTACTACTACTACTACTACTACTACTACTACTACTACTACTACTACTACTTACACCACCAGTGCCGCCACCATCAACACCATATAGCTGGTACATTGCTGTGTGCGACGTTACACAAACACACTGCTACTACTATTACTACTACTACTACTACTGCTACTACTACTACTACTACTACAACTACTGCTGCTGCTGCTACTACTACTACTACTGCTGCTGCTGCTACTACTACTACTACTATTGCTGCTGCTACTACTGCTGCTACTACTACCACTTCTACTACTACTACTGCTGCTACTACTACTACTACTACTGCTACTACCACTACTACTACTACCACTTCTTCTACTACTACTACTGCTGCTTCTACTACTACTACCACCACTACTACTACTACTACCACTTCTACTACTGCTACTACTACTACTGCTGCTGCTGCTACTACTACTACCACCACTACTACTACTACTACTACTACTACTACTACTACTACTGCTGCTACTACTAATACTAATACTACTACTGTTGCTATTTGTGTGCTGTCCTCACTACTGCATCCACTACCACAAATACAGCTACCATAACGCCATGTCTATACATCCCTCCACGACAACCACTACTGCCACAACGGTAACGTAATTACCCCTGTTAACAACAACAGCCTGCCGCCCCTTACAGAGGACATTTAGCCTGTAATACCGACCTCATGTCAGTAATAACAAAAGTCACGACATATGCCGTCTACGATGCCGGAACCACTACGCAGCCGGGAATTGGGCGTTAAGGGACCCGGATAATGACAGAATGTCAACAAAGATATTGTCAGCGACAAGGCCGAGTGGTGACGAATTAGGGTTAACGCGACGGATCATTAGTGGTTAACCCAGCTCTTATGAGCTTAACAAAAACCAAACAGACTTCGCTGTTGGATCGTGCCAGGAATTATGTAGTACACACGGGATCTAGGACAGATATCAGCGGTGTTTGTGTTTGCATTTGTGCTGAAATTACAAGGTTTGACGTAAACAAGGTAATACGCAGCACGGGGTTGGTGCTGAGGTTTTATAGTGGATTTTTAGGTACTTTCACATAATTCGTTGTGACTTTGGCTGGGACATTGAACCTTTACAGGACTTGGTTGTGCCTTTGATCTTTTAGTAGACTTTACGGTTAATTCGTCTAGTTCCTGCCTGCATAGCATCCTGTCTAGTGGTGATGTATTCTACCCGGTAGACGTGGTTTGAAACTCGTGCTGGTGTTACCTACTTGACGGATCCGAACACGATCATTACGCACGCCATAGTATCATTATTATCCAAAGCAGTAGTTCATCCCACGTCCATTTAATCACACAAAGAGTTAAGCCCTTCATAAAGCAGCATTTACTCTCTCGTCCAACTTCAGTCGATACATTCCTGCTGGGACCTTAATATACGCACCCATTCAATCCTTCTGGAGGCTTCACCAGTTCCACATCACTCAGAGTCAAGCCTTCTGGAGGGTTTACCCATTCCATATCACTTAGAGTCAATCCTTCTGGAAGCTTCACCCATTCAACATCACTTAGAGTCAATCCTTCTGGAAGCTTCAACCAATTCACATCCGTTAGAACCAATCCTTTTGGAGGCATCACCAGTTCCACATCGCCCAGAGTCAATCCTTCTGGCGGCTTCACCCATTCCTCATCACCCAGTGTCAATCCTTCTGGAAGCTTTACCCATCATTCCACTTCACTCAGAGTCAATCCTTCTGGAAGCTTCAACCATTCCACATCACTCAACGACAATCCTTCTGGAAGCAGCACCAGTTCCACATCGCCCAGAGTCAATCCTTCTGGCGGCTTCACCCATTCCTCTTCACCCAGTGTCAATCCTTCTCGACGCGTCACCCATTCCTCATCACCCAGTGTCAATCCTTCTGGAAGCTTTACCCATCATTCCACTTCACTCAGAGTCAATCCTTCTGGAAGCTTCAACCATTCCACATCACTCAGAGCCAATCCTTCTGGAAGCTTCAACCATTCCACATCATTCAGAGTCAATCCTTCTGGCGGCTT